CATGCATATTTGCTTGTTTGGGTGGGGTAGGGAAGATTTACACATGATAAGGCATTCTCATCTAAATTTTATTTGTTTATTGCCGGGAGGTGCTGCCTTTCTGAGAATCTGCTGCTAGAAACACTTCTGGGGCCTGGTCATTGTGCCTACTTCTAGGTAGCTCTATGCATACTTTCATACTTACTGACATTTACCCTCTGGGTTCACTAAGACTATGTAGCTTATATTACCATGTCATGTCCTTTCCCTACAAACTAGATAGCCCCTGGATGGCAGGCTAAGTTAATATCTTAGTGTTTGTAAGACCTGGCTCTCTGGAATTGTCTAAGGCAAAACCTGGATGTTACCATGTTGACCAGTCTTTCAGCTTTGGTGGTGGGAGTGGGGGTGCCTTCTCCATCTAGAGGCAGCAGACATCTATGATTAACTATACAAAAATGCCAGTTTGATGATAAAAGCTGTACTTAGCATTGGCTCCTCTGTGAGAGCAGAAGTCTGGGGGATGTTGCATTTGAGGACTCTTTTTTTTTTAAATGGAAGCTTTTGTTAACATCAGATATCTAATTAACTTAGGTTTTAAAAGATAGAGGTGCTGTGTCCTCAAGAAAGATGGTTATCAAAATAGTTTCATCTAAAGTAATTACCCCAAACCTACTATGGAAGAAAGAATTAAAATGTTTCTTTTTTAAGAAAAGCCAATGTATTGAATAACATGGAAGCATTTTGTTGTGGGCTCCCATCTATGCAGTTGAGGCTAGATCAACTTACCAACCAGCATAATTATCGTACCCAGAGCTCCTCTTGAAAAATGCCTTCCAGAACCAGGGAAAACACTGTCTGTGCCCACAGGACGAGCTGGCTCCCGTCCCCCTGCCCCCAGGATGAAAGGCTCCAGCTGCTCTGCAGTTATAATCAAACTGGCCTCCCTCAGCCTCCTCCGGTGCATCCTCTATGCAGTAATAACAGAGCTTCTGGCTGCCAATCTCCAAAATGGTGTTTAGGACATCAAATGCTTCAACTACCACCTATGTGTGCATAATGATTCCCAAGTGTGTGTCTCCAAACAAGGTCTTCCTAGCCGATCCCTGAAACTCCAGATCTCTGCTCTGCTTAGTGGAGGATGTCTGGACTTTTCACCAGATTCTCCAAGACAGCATCTCCAAACCCAATTCACCATCATCCTCTCCTGGTCTCCTACCACAAGTGAACGCCTTAGCCCCTGTTCCCCACGTGATAGGCACCCCCATCAGACGGTCATCTGCAATCCTTATTTTAAGGGTTGACATTATTGTTTTTCATTCTTTATATCCTGTATTAGAACAATTTTAGATTTACATAAAAAATTGAGCCAATAATACTGGAGTTCCTGTATTCCTGGGACCCAGCTTCCCTGTTCTTGACATATAAGTTACATTTGCTTTGATGAGTAAATCAGTATTGATGCATTATTGTTAATTAAAGTTCATACTTTATTCAGATTTCTTATATTTTACCTAGTAGCCTTTTTTTTTTTTTAATCCAGGGCCCCATCCAAGATACCACATTACATTTAGCCATCACTTCTCCTTAAGCTCCAGGCTATGACCATCCAAACTTTCTTAGCTTTGGATGACTTTCATTGTTTGGAGGAAGACTAGCCAGGTATATTTTAGAATACTCCTCCAGTAGTTTCCTGATGGCTTCTCATGATGGGACACTGGTTTATAGGCTATGAGGAAGGAGACCTCCACACGTAACATGCTGACAATATTTTAAGGCATTGTTTGGACATTAGTTATTGAGAACTACTCTGTGCTTAATACTAGATTAGTCATAAAGGAAAATAAAGCACGTATTTCCTTACAAGAGTGTCAGAGCCTGAGATATAGTAACTGCTTTAAAGTAGATTATTGTTTTTATTATTATTGATTATTGTTGTTGCTGCTGTTAGGTGTCACAGTTCCTGGGAGGTCATCTGTCTTGTGCCAGGGAATTTGACATCACTGACTACTCCTCTCTCAGACTTCCTCCCACTGCATTCTCCTACTACTTCTTGGTTATAACTTGCCTGTGTCCTCCTCTGATGCCACCTCTTGGCTTTGCCTCTTCTCTGTGCCCCTCGTGACTGAGACTGCCTTCATTTGATAGAGAAAGGCCAATTACGAATTGTGATACTGGACCGAGAAAATCACATCATAATGATTCCTTTTCCTTTCCCCTGCTAGGTCTGTAAACCCTCTCAGGGCAGAGACGATGATGGACTCTGTATCTCAGGAAGCTGGCATTGGGATGGAATTGAGTCAGGGTTCACTGATTGTCTGAAGATTTGATGTGTTTCCTCATCTTCAGACACAGGTGACATAACTAACTCCGTAGGACTGCTGAAATGATTAAATTAAAAGATGAAAATACTTGGCATAGGGCCTTGAGCGTTGTAGAGTAAGCACTCAAATATATCAGCCGCTACCATTCTTGTTACCATTATTAGGATCTGTGTCATGCAAGATATATTGGAGGCCTGAAGAATTTGATCCACTCCATATGTAAAGTAGCAAATTTAGTGATTGGATGGATACAAGAGGAGCCAAGCTTAGCTATTCACTTTAGAGCACAGTCTGTAAAATTCATGCTATATTTAGTTTATTTTGATAAGACTTCACTGACCTTCAGTTTTGTCCTTTACAATAGTCTAGATCCAAAAGAAACATTAAGACATGGCTGCTAATCTCAAGACCATATAAATTGACTATCAGATGATAATACAGGACAGCACAAGATGGGGAGCCAAGCAGAGGAAATGTGCATGTGAGAAGTTCAGAAATGTGCCTGTGTGGGCTGTGTTGTTGCTAAGGCCTGGGATGTGGGCACTGAATGATGGGCCACTCAGAACAGGACAGTCAGAGAGAAAGTTAGGAAAGCAAGGATCTAGAAGGAATGTGCACAGAGAAATTCAGTGCTAGGAGGAGGCATTGGGATTTATGCAGAACAAAGCAGGAGGACAAGATAACAGGAAGAATAAAGTAGAGAGGTGGGGGAGGCTTTAAAACTGCTGTAAAGAGTAATGAAGCGTCTTTTTTGACTTTTTGGGGGAGGGGGAACAAAGATATAACTGAATGGAGCTGAAATTTCTGGAGGTAGCTGCACTTGAAGTAGGTGTGATTAGCTGAAGAGGAAGCGCTGATGACAAAGATCACTGTGCTAATTCATTCATTCACCTACCCACTCGTTGGCCATGAATGCACTCAGTATTTGGGAAGAGCCGATCAAATTCTAGACATGTGGACACTTAATAAGCTTTAGTACCCATTGTAAAGTGTCTCACAGACTAGAGGGAAAAAAATGACAGAGGTTTCTGTCATAATCTAGACTAGATCATAGTGAAACAAACCAGAAACAGAGGAACAGAATAATCTGTGGGAGTTAGCTAGATAAATAAATAACATGCTAAATGAAAAGAAACGTGTATATATGTACAAATACATAGACTGTATAAATATATGTATATTCATTATCCACTATAATTGTATTATATGTTTATGTATATTATATAACACACATTTGTTTTGATGAAAGAAATTTGAAAGACTAATTATTAAAATAAACAAAAAGAAGAAAGCAGACTGCTAGAAAAGGATAATTCCAAACAGTAAGCCTGACTGAACTGAAGAGAGGCTGTACTGACAATAAGGAAATCCTTCAGATGGGAGCCATGTAGGCAGGAAGATGAATATATTTGGAATAAGTTGAATGTTACAAGAGATATCAATACAGTCAAACTGTTGCTGACTGGAAACATAGTGGGAGGGAGGGCAAAACTCAAGAGACAGGCTTGAGAATTATCAATCACACTACAGCAAAGGTGGATAAGCATGCAGAGGGAAAGGGCAAGCAATGGCAGACCAGGGCTAAGCCATGAGCTCTCTAAGTCTGGAGGGTCCCAGAAAAGAGGCAAAGCCAAGAGGTGGCATCAGAGAAGGGTGCAGAGAAGTCATGCCCAAGAGATAGGAGGAGAATGTAGCAAAAGGAAGCCTGAGAGAGTAGTAGTCAGTGATGTCAAACACCCTGGCACAAGACAGATGACCGCCCAGGAACCATAACACTTAGCAAAGTAACAATAATAAACAATCAGGAACAATATATACTTTAGAGCAATTACTATGTCTCAGGCTCTGACAACTGTTATAAAGGCACTTAATACATGCTTTATTTTCCCTTTATGCTTAGCCTCACTTTAAGCACATAGTAGTTCTCAATAACTAATTCATGTTCAAGGCCAAACTGGCAGACGCTTAGGAATCTGGGCACTCTGATATTACAGCTAGTGCTGAATGTTAGAAATGCATTTCTTGTTGGCTGATAGAATAATCATTTCTTTCCTCAGGTCATGCTGTCCAGGTTTCGTTACTGGCTTACTCATGGCCAGTAAATTCCTGTCACTAAGATTACTTCCCTTCCTCTGCTCTGAATGAGAATGCTCTGCTTACCCATGTGGGTTGGGTGGAGCCCAGAATGTTCTTTGACCCCAACTCACTGGCAGAAGCAATCTCTAAGTGATAGCCTGCACCTTTGGGGCTTAGCCATGTTTTTCTAAAGTGTTTCCAAGGAAGTGGTGTCTTCTGAACATGGGATAGATTCACACAGAATTTGGGGGTGGTAGGTTGACGAGAGCAGCAAGTACTTCCAAGGACAAGTTGATCAATCAACTGGCTCTTACTTATCTCCCTGGCATCTCTGAATAGCATGGCATTCATACAAAGATTGGCCACGCATTAGGAAAACAGAAAGTGATTGCTGTTGAGTGGCTTTTAGTTTGAGGAAGCAAATCTCTCTTGGGGTCCAGGGAGGACATCACATGAGGAAAGAGTCGCTGGCATAGGTGAACCATCCTTTAGGTGAGAATTCTACTTGTTTGGTAAACTACATGCAGCAACTTTCCATGTATATATGAGTGGCCCACACAACAAATGCCCCTAGACAGAGCTCGCAGACATGCGGCAGGGTGTATTTAAAGTCACAGAATGCAACTGAGAAAAGCAAACATCCTTTTATTTAGCACCCAAATATTTTAAAGGAGGAGGGGCAATTCTGGTGATAAAATAAACCTTTGCTAACAACTCCTTTAAGCCAGCAAGCCTACATCCTGTTCATGGGGCCCGCTCTAATAAAATACAGGCCTCCAACTCCCTTCGTCACAGTTCTCCTTGTCCTGATGTTCACTGTGCATCTGGAAGGCATAGAGCATAACATAGGTATTTATTAGGCTGGAAGATTTCATTCAAGGTCATTCGTACAGGGAGGGAGGGGCAGGATCCAGACATAATTCTGTCTGCTCCCAGGTTCTTCCTCTCTACCCAGTGGCCTTCTGTCAGGTGATACTGATGTTGCCTTTGATCCATCAAACACTGCAGGCCAAATCAGGTTCCTTCAGGAGTCATGAGCTAGTCTGGAAAAAGAGAAAGGGTGGTGGCTGTGGGAACAGAAGGGTAAAGTGATGAGAGTCAACTTCTGTAGGTGGTTTGGCTAAAATGAAGGGAAAGACTCATCACTTCAAGATGCTTCCCTTGTCATTGCAAAGGCCTTTTTGCTCTTCACCCTGAGTTTCCTATAAATACATCCTCGGTTGTACATGGCATTTTGAAATCATGTCTACCAAATATATGATTTGTTGTGAGTTGTGCTTTGCACACATGTATCAAGGCCTGAGTGATGTTGAGAAACTGATTGTGCCTACAGGGCCACACCTGAGGTGGGTGGACCAGCCCACTTGGTGGGTGTATTCTGCTCCAGCCCTTCAAACATTTGACTCTCACCATCAAGAGAATATGAGAAAGCGAAGACATGAAAACCTATGTGGCTAAGAAGTAGCTGGACGGCCCTCAGGGAGCTACCTCCTGAGCCATGCAGGAACTCCTGGAATTTGCCACTTGGCCCAGCAGAGCATGGCTCAGGGATGAGATATGTGCCTAGGTCTGTTTGGTATCAGCTTAATTTATTTTTAATTAAGTATCTCCATATAAAGCTTAAGTGAAGAGTGGAACTGAAATAGGATTTCAGCAGCAGCAGATTCTTATGAAGAGGAACCCTACCTTTTTAACCTATTTGATAATACTTTGGGATTTTCATAAACTCTAAATATCACAGAGACACATAAACATGCACACACACAATACTCAATACACACAAAATTTTCCTGAAGCTCACCTTCCGTGATGCTAATCCAGTGCTTGAAAACCTCCCTAAAACTCACGGCTCCTAAAATTACAGCAGATTCATCAACAAATTATTTGAGATAAATGGCAAGGAAAATAAAATCATCGTACCATATTCAATTTGAAGAAAATTCAATGTTTTTTCAGTATGACTCCACTGCTTATTTAGCAGCTTGATATAGTGAAGCAAACAGGGTTTCAGTTCACTGACTCACAGACAAACTGAACCTCTAGGCTAGTATTTCGTTCAGTGCAGTTCTTAGATCATTTGCCTCAGATTTACCTCGGGAATTTACAAAAATACAGATTCTTCAGCCCTATCTTGTTTGCTAGATTAGAATCTCTAGTTTGGTGGGGCCCAGTAATCTGTTTCAGAAAGCCATCCAGGGTTATTATTTTGCACATAAACTTAAAGCTTTTCTGCTTTAGGTTCTTAACTAAATATCATTTTTTTTTATTTTCCAGATCGCAAGTGTGGAGAACAGGGCAGTATTCCACATGGTTATAGTAAGGGACAGATTAGGGGACAAGTTGTGTCACCACCACCACTTCTACCACACCCAGATACCAACATGCAGGCAATTACAGCTGACTTTACCTGGGATTGCAGAACAAGATGTTCAGTCAAAATCTCCTCTTGGCCCCAAAATCACAGGCATGACCTTCAAAGAAAAAAAAGTGTGAGGAAGAAGAAAATGCAAATGTTATTCCCAGGATCCAGACGTGCCTGTACTTATTGTAGACAGACTTATCTCTTCTACTCCCACAGCACCACTTACAAAAGTCATTGATTATTGTCTTTAACAAAATGAGGACACCAGCTCTACAATATTGAGTGTCCTGTCCATGGTATTAGGTTTTAACCCAAATGCCTTAACTTCAAGTCCGAGATTATTATATGTTTCTAACTTTGGAAGAATTTTTTCATGAAGTCCATTCGAAAAGCACAATGTTTCACTCAACAGGAACTAGAAGAGCAGTAAATTGGTTTGGGTGCTGGGAACTATCTGCAATGTATTATAAGTCTTCACTTTAAGCTTTAGGTCACAGGCCTGGCTGTGCTGGTTGCTAACTAGGTGACCTCAGGCATGCTACCATTGTCCATGTCATTCCCCAAGCCAGACACCCGAGGGTTGTTCTAGACACCTCCCCGTCACTCACCTCCCACATGTAATCAATCCTTATGCATATTTACCCTCCTCTTTCCATCTCCACCTCCGTCACCTTACACTTGAACCACAGAGGGAAAATTAACTGATCCCTGCCCTTCTGTTTTGGCCATTTGTCCCTCCCACTCTCCCCACAACAGCCTGAGTCACAGCATGTCACTCCCTCGCTTAAACTTTCAACAACTCAAAATTTTTCGTAGAGTAAAACTAAATTTCCCACCATGGCCTATACTATCCTACCTGGCCCAGGCCCAGCCTAACCTGACACTCAGTTTAGACTACTTTCTACCTTATTTTCTGGGCTCCAGACACCTTGGTATTTCTGTCTTTCAAATGGTCTCTGCTCCTTCTGCTCAGAAGCCTTCATATATTTTAGTCCTTCCCAGGGGAGGCTTTTCCACATCCTAATCCACTCGCTTAGCTCATTCTTCATATCTCAGTTTATTATCATGCCCAGAGGGCATATTCCTCACGACTCCCGTGACCTTCTCCCCACCCGCAGTCAGCTCCTTCTGTTATACTCTCAAAGTTTCTGCACTCATCACAGTTTGCAATCATATGTTGCCTGGTGCTTTCCTGCCTCACATGCCGGAGTATGAGTTTCATTAGGATGGAGACTATGTCGGTTTTATCAACACCACCTTATGCCCAGCACCTGAACACACAGCCTATAGATATGGTATATATTTTAACATGCTGGTGCTGGTGTTACTGTTGCTGCTGTTCTAGTGGTTAATATTCTTGACTACCTAGCATGTGCATGTCTTGGTTCTAAATGTTTTATTTGCTGTCTTTCTGTTAAACCTTAAAAATCCTGTAAGTTAGTACACATGGTCCTTAGTTCCTTGGTGAGTGAATACACTTCATTTCTCTGATCATCATTTTCCTGTTGACATACTGAAGAAAGTAACATGTGAGCAAATCACACCCCAAGTTGAAATATAATATATTTTCTCCAATTACTTACAAATGAATGAATAGAACCTCTTAAAATGTTTCTAAGGGTAAAAAAATATGTATATGTATATGTATACATACACCTTTTAACTTGGCCTGAAACAGAATTTTCCATCTATTTTTTTAAATTATTGTTCTCCCCTAGTACCAAAAAAATTATTGTTCTCCTCCCCCATATACACAGAAGAAGAAAAAATAAACTAAAATGTAAATTATTCTTAACAGGCCAGGTGTGGTGGCACATGCCTGTAATTCCAGCACTTGGGAGGCTGAGGGCGGAGAATCACTTTGAGTTTGAAGTCAGCCTGGGCTACATAGTAAATTCAAGGATATCCTGGCCCCTGTCTCAAAACAAAAAAAAAAAAATCTAACTAAATAAATGAGTGAATAATTCTTAACAGAAGCAATTAATAAGATTTTGTTGGGTAAGTTGAGCTTTGGAGAGACACAAAGCATTGTTCATAAGTAATCTGCATTGCTTTTTCACTTTTCCGAGAATCGATTTTGTCCTCTTGGTATTAAAAGAGTTTCTCAGAAAATAAATTTTCCAAAAGAAGTAAGAGAGTGAATGAGGAAAAGAAAGAAGACAGGAGAGCTGAGTGTGGTGATGAATGCTTGTAGTCCCAGCTACTTAAGAGACTGAGGCAGAGAATCACAAGTTTGAGGGCAGCCCAGGCAACTTAGAAAGTTCCATCACAAAATTAATTAATTTATTAGTTAATTAAAAATTAAAAGAGCTGGGGATGTAATTCAGTGTCAGGGCTCTTGGCAGCCCAATACAGGGGCTAAGGAGGCATATTTTTAAAAAACAAAGAAAGTAAAAGGAGCCTGTGAGGTTGGACTGGAAGAAGGAGGGGCAGGAGTTGGACAGACAGTGATGGGGAGTGAGAATGAGGGAGAAGAGGTAAAGGCATCAAGGAGGAAAGATATGTGAGCAGGCGTAGGAAGAGGACGCCTGAAACAGCATCCCAACCAGGTAAACTCTAGGCATGAAGGGAATGACGGTGTGGCATGAAGAGGGGAATTGGCAACTAAGACTAGAACTACTTTGGGGAATCTTGAATGACAGCATAAGAGGTTTTCTAGGAGCCACTGAAACTTCTCAGCAGTGAGGTGACATCAGAAGGCATTTGCTATAGAAACTTTAATCTGGAAGCTGGGTAGAAGATGAAGCAGCTTCACAGAGGCAGGAAGTCAATGAGCAAGATGTTCCCACGGGTGACACCAGTACTATAGGGAGTTTTACTGCAAACTGTTGACCAGCATCCCTGGTCACTGGTTGCCAGTTGTGACAACCAAAAGTACCTCTAGACATTACCAACTGTTGCCTGGAGATGATGTTTTAAGAACCACAAGAGCGGATGTGAGGGTGATCTGGCTGTGACATTTGTCAACTCATTGATCACCAGGGTTGATGTGGCTAATCTGGCTGGCTAGGCAGGTGGCCCCTTCCTCCACAGCACTCCATATGTGTCCCTCCCAGTGATGCATACTCAGTCAAAGAGGTCGACCAACACCTGTTTCCTTGGACAAGGGTATACAGGTAGCTGCGCTCTCCTCCTAGAACCTCCAAATAAGCTCTCAAGAACCACAAGTGCTCAAGTGCTTGAGAACCACTGATCCAGTCCAAGACCAATGAGGTACTGACTCAGGATGGCCTCAAAGGGACAGGGGGCCACATATAGACCACTGATTTTTTCAACTCTATACAAAGACATAAGTGATGTCCAAGGGGATTCTCATGTTATAAGGATAAAAAAGCATGTAGGAAGGGATGTATTAGAAGGGCAATAAGGAACTTCATTTTTTAAATATGTAGTTTGATGTTTCTGGATATACCCACATGGAGATAGAGATGCCCTGTGGATTAATGGCTGCTCACTTAAAGTTTATAATGAATGAATGAAGACACAGATGAATGGCCTACATCAAAGGAGATTTGAAGCTTGAGACTGGTGCATGTGAGTGAATGAAATCACTAAAATAACATTTAGAAAAAGATTTTAAAAGACCCGAGTTTAGAACCTTATGTGATATTTCCTACTACAAAGAGCAGGTAGGTATAAACAAAGTTCATTCTCCATAATGTAAACCTAATAGACAATAAGACCAAAGTGATATCCCTCCATTTCATTGTATTTCAAGTGTCTATATTAAAATTCCTTTTAAATTGTATTCTAACCCACATGTGGACTGGTTTATATTACTACGGAAGTATATTAAAGTATTCCCTTTCTTCCCACAATGTTTCAGTAGTATAGTCAGTTGAGTAGATTCTCCACACATGGCCAGCAATTTTACCTACCCCCCCAGCCAGGAATGCCCAGTTTGAAATACAGCAGTAGAGAGTTGGGAGTTGGAGAGACCCAAATGCAAATTTTTCTCCTGCCACTTGCAAAGAGAACTTAAACAAATTATTTTGACTGTCCTGAGCTTTAGTTTCTCAATAGTAAAAAGGAGCTACTACTACCATAGTACCAATCTTTATTGTGCAGATCATCAGAGATAAATATTTAAAGTAAATAAGAGATATTCAATAAGCAGTAGCTTGGTTAGTATCTGTAATAGTAAGAGAAAGCAAAAGGAATATATTGAGGCAGAGGAGCGGCTGATATACTACAAAGACAGCCTTCGTAGCTCAGTACCCAGAAGCTTGAGGAGGATGGAATTCCAAGACTGAAATCACACCGAAACATTATCAACTGGCTCAGAGAGTACTCAGGTGAAGGCACCTGAGAAACATCTGGAATTGATATTTGAGCTGCCTAACTGTGACCTGTAAGAGCAGTGCTAGGAGCCAGTGATGGTGGAGTCCCATTAACCAACAAGTAGAAAGTGAAGAGCAGATAAAAAAAGTCTAGAACATTCTTCCCACAGATTTGGTGAGGATGGAAAATGTCATGTATGGGAGGCAGTGAAACAGAAAAGTCATGAGAATGAATTTGAATTGACTACTCAAAAGTTTAGAAAGATCTACAGTGTTACCTCGGTTGGCAAATATTTTTGTTTGCAATTTGGTTCATAAACAGAAGAACTTGGCAAAATTTTGGTTTTGTCTGTGAAAGGAGATGAATATGACTGGAGCCATCTTTCCTGCATAAATATGAACTTGACTAACTTTTCCAGAACCATGGAATGAAGTAAGTTGGTGAGCCAAGCTACTATTGTATAAGAGTTAATGACAATGGATTCAAAATGGAAAATTCATACATATGACCATGTACTTGGTTTGGTCGTGTGTTTCACAATTTTTAGTCAAACATTAGAATATCATTTACTGTAAGTTTCTTGCATTGTTTTACACACACATACACACACACATGCACACATTCACACTCACACATGCCCACACATGCACCCTATCCACAATGGTCTTGTGGTCAATACAATATAGAAAATACTGTGCTTTTAAAAAATTATTTTAAAAATAGTGTCTGTTATGGTTTAGATCTAAAATGTCCCCCAAAAGTCTAATGTTCGGACGTGGGGCCTGTTTGAAGGGAGTAGGTCACTTGGTGTGTGACCTGAAAGGGTAT